AAAAAATTTAAGGGTATTTTTTTAGAGGAAATTACACCCTGACCTGGTTTTAAATTTTCATTTTCATCAATACAGAATGACTTTTAGAATTTCCTAAATCAGGTTTTTATAGTAATGAATTATATTTTTAATTAACCCAACAACTACCGCCATTTACGTACAATTGGAGAGAGAAGACGGTTTAAATATGTAAACTTATCTCTAATAACCGTTTAATTCCCAAACATCACCTCATTTGGGAAAAGAAAATCTTGAAATCTCTTATAATCTTCCCGCCGTCCCCGCCGTCCCTCAAACCTAAAATCACAAATTCAATCTTGAGAGAAAAACTATACCATTCGACTTTGGAAGTGCGGCGGTGTTGAGGGAAAAGTCGGTGCAAGAGAAGGGAGTGCAAGGTGAACTCTATGAAGCGATTACGGACCGGATTTAGAGCAATGGCAAAAACAAGGAGTTGTGACCGGAAGACATAACCCAGAGTCGAAAAAGCACACGGTAACGCACAAGAAAAGGAGAAGGTGTCAATGGCGCCAATGGGGGATCGTACACAAATCCCTATGTCACCGGCTGCATCGAATCCGAAACGGAAAAAGAAATTCCTCGAAGAAATGCCCAGAAAATCTACGGCAAAATCGAAGAAGGTAAGTTCTTTTCTGGTAAATTGACTTTGTTTGAATTTCAATTGTGACCTTTCTATTGTAATTTGTAACCTCAGTATTCTGTTTGAATGTAACGGTAATATTCGGGTCACAATTATTCGAATGATTTGTGACCTAAATCTTTGAATGCAGAATTTTGTCTTTTATCTCATGGTTTCACAGAGTGATCATAAATTATCTATTGTGATGCAGTACTGGAAGTACATAATACCGAAAGATCAATGGTTTTCGGGGAAAATTACCACAAATATTGCAAAAAATGTTCTGTCCAATTTCACGTCGAAATTCCATGAGGAACAGAGGACTATCCTGACGAACACATATTTCTCTTTCTTCCTGGAATGCAATGAAATTGTTCTGCAGCTCCCAACTAATACACGACTTTTTGATCGGGGAAGTGAAGCAGTCGAATCCTAATGAGATGTGGTTCGATGTTGCGAATAGATTTATGAGATTTTCATTGTGTGAATTTTGTTTGGTGACGGGTCTTAGATATAATGGTGATGACATTAGGAAGGAGATTGACAAAATTCCCTATAGGATCAAGGGGGCATACTTTGGGGAGTTGAAGTTGGTTACCAATGAAAATGTTAGAGATGTATTCTTGAGCGTGTCAGACATGATGCTCATGATGTTGTGAGGCTTGGGATTCTGTATTTGATTACTTCATACCTATTCTCCACGTCTTATAAGAAGGTGGTTAAAAACTACTTATTTTCGCTAGTAGAAGATTTTGAGTTAATGGAAATGTTTTCTTGGGGTAAAGAGTTGTTTGAAATGTCTATAAAATCTCTGAATGAGGGTTTAGGTCACGGGAATCCACATTATAGACTGAAGGAATTTTTGGCTGCATTTCAAGTTTGGATATACGAGTCAATTCCCAGACTTAATGGACCTGTGACGAATAGAATGGGGAATGGTTTCCTACGCATTGTGAACTGAATGTCAGACAATAGCCATCGGCCGTGAAATTAGATGAAGATGTATTCTCCCACCCTGATGTAAATTTTTAAACACTGTTTTGCAATGAATAGGTTACAAGGTCACATATTTCTATATACAAGTCACAAGGTCTCACATATGCATGCACAAGTTACAATGTCACTTATTTCAACTGTATATTTATTTTGTAATAACATATTACAAAATCACATATGTTTGTCTATAGGTCACAGACTTGTATGCATAGGTCACAAGGTCACAGAATGCTGTATGTATGTCACAGGCTTGTATGCATATGTCACAAGGTCACATAATTTTCTTTAGGACACAAAATCTGACATTTGCATTATCAGACACATTTTCTCTTTGCATTCATAGAGCACAGTCATTTCACATATATAATCTCTAACATGGGTTCCATTTGTGGGTTGTCACAGCTTGAAATACGGCATATTGTCTCGTCTGACTTGGAGATGGAGGCTCCATATATGAGTGGTGTTCTATACACCAAACCAGAGCAACCTGGAGATGGACACTTCAAGGATGCTACCCATGCAGGTACGAGTGGAACATGGCTGCTAATGATCACAGACAAACACTTCTAGTGGATAGTGGATGTTTTAGTTTCTAGTGGATGTTTTTATGCTTTTGAAAGTCAGCAACAGTGTAATTCACGGATATTTCGGTTCATTTATGGCAATATAACAGATGTGCATTTCACATTTTGTCTAATTTGTTTTGGATGATAGTCTCTTACTACATTGTGAACTTGTTGGTTATGATACTTACAGGTCATGAATATCAGATTTATTGCAATATATTTCAACAGGTTACAAAATTCACTACTATGAATTTTTCCAGGCAGTGATGTCTAATTTCATTGGTCATACTGAACATCCACTTAGAAATGCACAGGCTACAGTCATTTTTTTCACATCTTAAGTCACAGGTTTCAGATCACAGGTCATAGCTAACAGGTCACAAATAGCAATGTCGTGTATTTTGCCATGCTATCTGATACCTTGCATTCATGGAAGCACAGGTCACAAAAAGTTGTCTCACCATCCCAGGTCACAGGTCACAAGTGAAATATATATGGTCACAGGCATCACTTCTATGAATTCTTTCCAAGTCATTCAGCCTTAATTCATAGGTTACATATCATGCCACAAGTTACACAAGTCAACTTTATTTGTACACATATTTTAATTAATTGAATTTTTTGAAGCCATTCAGCCGAAATCATAGGTCACATATGCCATGTTACTAAAAATATAGTGGAAATTACACCCCACCCTATCTTTGGAGATATCAATTCTAAAATCAGGTGGGATACTTTTTCTTTCAAAAATCAGAAGTTTTATTTTAATTAATATTTTTATAAAATAATTATATTTACCAACCCTAACCCCTCTCTCTCTCCATTTCTATCCCAACCCCGCCGCCTCTCTCTCTCTACCATCTCCACGCCTTTCTTCTGTCTCCATTTTTGTCACTGAATCCGCCGGAAATGGTCGTGGATGAAGAAGGCGGCGGCGATGAGGACATTGAGGAGAAACGAATTCTGTGCAAAGATTATGATCCTCCACCACTGGATCTCAAAACCAGATTTGCTTTGGTCGGGACGTTGTGTCGCAGTCGCCGCAATATTGTGTGGTAGTTTTTCTTATCTGCTGCGTTACTAGAGTTTGGGTGTATTTTTTGTTGATGATTTTGCGGTTGGGGGGTTTTTGTTGGTGCGGTGGTGTGCGAGCGGTTGATGGGTGGTTGCGTGCGGTGCTATTAACCAGTGGGTGTGATATGGTGGTGTGTGCGGTGGACCAGTGGTTGTGTGCGGTGACTAGTTGTTTGTGTGCGGCAATGGTGCAGTGTTTTGGTGGCGGTTGTTGGCAGTGATTTTGTTAATATAGATAGTGGTGGTACTTGTGGCAGTCGACGATGGTGGTGGGTACCGTGGTAATGGTGGCCGCTCTGTTGGTGTGCATTGCCTCTAGCGGTGGAGGTGGGTGATGGTGGTGGATCTGGTGGTTGCATGGGTGTTGTTGGTGTAGTGGTGGCGGTGGACGGTGGTGGTGGTGCTGATAGAGACAGCGTTGAACTGGTGGTCACAACTGTTGACGGTAGTCATAGATTAGACTAGCTGTGACCACATAATGGACTATCTGTGATCTTAAAAATCGACAATTTGTGACTAAAAATTAATCCGTGACCTGTAATTTTTTTGATCCGTGATCAATAAAATAATTTGTGACCTAAAAAATTATTGATTTGTGACCTTGAAATAATCCGTGACCTCCAAAAATTTTGATATGTGACCGATAAACAAATTGTGACCTATAAAATTTTTCAACTGTGACCTCGAAATAATTCGTGAAGTATAAAATTTTTGATCCGTGATCTCGAAATAATTCTTGACTTATAAAATTTTTGATTTGTGACCTAAAAAATAATCTGTGACCAATTAATTATGTACCAGTGACCATTAATTGTATAATTATGACATCATTATATTTAATTAATTAAATCATAATAAAATTTAATAAAAATCTGATTTTTGAAATTTCAAACTTGTTTTCTTAATTTTGAAATAGGGGATACTTATCCTCTTACTTATGAATTTTTCCCAAATAAATAAAAGGGTTGGGCTTGGCAACAACGGCCCAACCTCATTACAAAACCCAAAAAAAAAAAAAAAAGAACTTGGAAAAGACGATGACCATCAGAACAGGAAGCGAAACGTCAGAACCAAACCAAGCGGGCACCGGTGGCCACCACCCATCTTCTTCCCAAAAATCTTCCACCGGAGCCCAGCACGCACGGCCGTCCCCCTAGCCAAGTGCTGGGTCCGCCACTGGACGTAACCATAGACAAGTAACATACAAGTCCATGTCCTAAATTTTATTAGTTACAATTTTATAAAAATTGATAAAATGTATAATTGAAAAGTTATCAGTTCTATAAAATTTGTGATTAAAATTAACTGTTGACTTTAATTTTTAATAAAAATCTGAATTTTAATCCTTACCAAACCGAGACTTAAGTATATTAGTCATTTCGTTATCATGTTAACTTTGAACAATGAATCATGCCACTATTATGTAGTTTAACAGTGCCTTCTGATGTTTAATCAAAACATGGGCTGTGATTTTCATAGTACATTTTCATCAGGCACGTAAAAAAATACAACAGAACAGGTTGATGTTTTTCCATTCACTATAATACTCGATTCTACAATTGATTGTCCTGCAATAATAATGAATAATAATAATATTTTTAATTACCATAAACTATCTTCAAATAATCTAATTGTACAGCTGGTGTACAAGTCAAAAATTCGCCCATGGCTCCGTAACATTGTATGAAGACACATCCATCCCTCTCCAAGTACTCTAGTCAAGTTCACTGACGTCCTCGTCCTCGCCCTCGTCCTCTTCCTCTGCCTCTTCCTCTCCCACGAAAGCCCCCTCCTCTTCCACGGCCACGAAAACCAGACCCGTCTTTTAGATTCAATGATTGTACTCCCCTCTTCCCACGTCGCATTTCCTTATCCTCATCGTCCTCCACGTATTTTTTGGAGCTTCTAGGATTAAAAGAAATTTCCCGTGACCCCCCTCCGACTATCTTGACATCATGCTTTGAAGCATATGAAGCTCGTTGCTGCTCTTTTGCCACCCTCTCTCCCATTGGAAGAGAAAACTCCTCCACAAGAGATACACCCTTCGAAAATGCTTCTGCATGTCGCCCATCCTTCATTTCATAGAATCTGCAAATGTATTCAAAAGTAGAACCCTTAAATAGATTTTACACAAAACAAAAAAAGATAATTAGAACAAGCGTGTCAAATTTTTTTCCCAGTTTTTTTTGGAGACTAGTTAGATTTGTAAGACATGCAACCTTTTGGATGCGTAACTATAGTTTTAGCTATTTGTTTAAAAATAAATATCTATACATATATAGTTCTAGTTCTGCACCCTCACTATGTAATCACAAGCAAAAAAGGTGAACACAGTTAATAATTTCATTAAGAGTATATGCCAACGATATGATATATGCAGAAAGACTGACTGTGTGAAACATTACCTTGGAACTCGTGATTTCCTGGACGCAGTGTTGTCAATGGCATCCTCAGCTTCTGATGATTCACTCACATCAGAAGCACTAATACCTTGGTCCTCCTCTTCCATGACAGGGTCAAAATGCTGCTCGAGCAAAGACGGTTTATTTGTGGATATGTTCGGGTGTAAAGCCAAATATTCTTGTGAGAATTCATCAATTTCAAAGTCCTGCAGGAGAAATCAATATACAATCCTTAATGACCAGGGTGAACCATATTTTAAAAACAATTTGGAAAATGCATCCTGATTTCAGAGGAAATGTAGGAAGCAATTCTAATGCATAACCACCATATTTTATCTGTTCGTTCTCGGAGGTAAACTTCTTTTGCTTGACAAAAGATGTCACCTAGTCATATATACATGTACAAAGATTGTCATTCTTCCCTTGTTTGTTGAATGGTTCTGCTTTTTATTCTCTATTTCTTAATTATTCAACCATTTTAACAAAAATTTCAAAAAGGATGATTCGAATTCTAATCAACAAAGAACATCTGGCAAATATCAAACCAAGGGAGTACCTTATTCTCAAACATCTCTGTGAACCGCTCGTCTTTGAGAACTTCACTGGTGAGACCTTTCTTTTTCTTTGATGTTTTCTTGACATCAGATGTTTTCTGAGTATCAATGCCATCAGTTTCCATGTTTTCAGTTTGAGCATCTTCTTCTTCAAGAAGTCGGGCTGCCAGATTCCGATTAACTTTTGGCAGCCTCTTCTTGAGCTGCAAAAAGATGAGAAAAACGAGATTGAATGTATACATATCAAAAGATCTAAAAGAAAGGGAATGGTGATATAATCAATGCAAAGAGATGTTCAAAAACATAATTTAGGACGAAATCAAACTAGTCTATTTAGTAATGGCTTCAAAATAGAAAATGATATTCTTTCTCCTGAACTTTAAGCAGACAAGTGATTAAAGAACGAAAAAACCGTATCCCGGCTACAAAAAAACCATGGCTTTAGTAAAAAAAAAGTACAAACAATACAAATGAAAAGTAACAAACCGTAATTCGAGAGGCACGTAAAGCTTCCAATTTTTCCTGTTTCCGCTTCTCTATATAAGATTCATAAGCAAAAGGATCTGCCAAATCTTTTGCCTGCAGTTAAAAAGTCAATAAAGCTTTTATTAGAACAAGAATCTAACATAAACCTCCAAAACATTAAAACCAAAACTTAAATAAATTTTATTTTATTTATTTATTTTTTTGTCGACAAGAAATTATAACAATTGCTGGGTGAAAAATTTCAAAGGATAAGAAAACTCATTTGCTGGATCCTAGCCACAAAAATTGTTGGATAGCCAAGAGGTAAGTGAAAGAATATCAAGATGAAGGATAAAAAAATTTTGTAAGCAGATTGAAGACTACCTTTTTGTACAGCCGGTAGTCAATAAAGAAGCCATGCATGTAGGCTCTTAGAAGATTGGTACCAATCAAATTAGTTAAGTTCAGTTTCGCAAGGTCTTCTTTTGTCAAAAATTTGTAATCATCATAAATAGTAGTCTGTGCATTCTCCTCGAGCTCCTCCTGGACAGGCAAATGTTAGCATCATCATTTACATCAAATGAGGGTAATAATACAAGATATTATTAGGACATCAAGTAAACACACCGTTAAGTTCTCCAAATAAGAGCACCACTTTGGAGCGGGTCCAAGGTCTGGTATATAGTAAGATGGTATTTGGCTGCTGTCTAGAGCCAACAACATCAACCCACTTTCTTTGAAGACGCACAAATCATTAATTTTCCCACCAGCAGGCTCGATGCTAGTCATGCCTTCTCCCTGAAATTAACTGAACTTAATCAAGTCCCAAAAATTTGTAAACCTTGGTAAAATGTATACAAAGGCCTCCTTTTTATATTATATTTTTCAAACCACCATTACAAGGTCATTTTCCTCCAAAAATAGCTCGGAACTGAATTTGCATCCCCATCTTCTTCGTGGTAACACAACTATTTACAATTAACCATTACAAGGTTATTTTCCTCCAAAAAATAGTTTGGAACTGAATTTGCATCCCCATATTCTTCGTAGTAACACAACTATTTACAATTAACCAAAAAATACTACAGGACTCATCCTTTAGGTACTCTATGCTCTACTCAGAATAAAATAAATTATTTCCATAAATTTTTTAAATTTAATAGTTTATTTTATTTATATCGTGATTATGTAAAAAATAAAACCCCTATTACAGTCATATTTAATTTATCAGTTCCTGGACGGTTATCCTTCATAATACAATAGTTGGAAAATCTTAGCAATAAATCTATATGCTTGGACTCTCCAGAGCTCAGCAGTACATCCATCCAACATCTAAATGTGAAGGCAATTGTATAATCATCTTCAAGGCACAAAATACAGAATGTGAAGCAAGCATAGGATAAACAGTCAACTAAAAAGATCCTTACAGTTTCAGAATCCCAAATCCTGACTGTGTGTTTATCAGTAGTGATTAATTTTTCTCTCTCAGAGTTTAGGGTTTTATGCCACTTAATGTTCAGTATAGGGGTGCCATACCTGCAAAACCATGACAGATTCCCAAAGTAAATATCCCATGAATGTATAAAGATCCTCAACTATTATCAAATAACTGGAGTAACTAAGAAGTTAGTAGAGGTAACTCACATATGATCCTTCACTCGCACAGGATTAGATTTGCGCAAATCATAAATCAGAACCTGAATTATTTGAATAAAATAAGTGCACAATAATTCCTTAGTTAAGGGAAAAGAACTACAACAGAGTTAGTACAGAAAACCAAATCTTTTACATAACACGATGTATCAAAAAGGAAACAGATAAAACAGGAATATACTATTCATTTTGGTGGTTTTCATTTTGTGCTGCAGCTTGTTTTCCAAATAGAGGATTGTCATATGCCCTATCCAATATTAAAATGTTTCTGTTTATTTGGTAGCTGAAAACATCTTTATCTATTTACAAAACAATGTAATCATGCAACTTAACAGTTTCCTTCCCATGCAGACTGAATCAATGTTGTGTTGAGCCAGGTAGACACAAACTTGGCCTGAAGAAGAGAGACCTAATTACTTGTCCTACCAAAGGACCTATGTTATTGAGTACAGCTATCAATCTTTTGATGCATAAATGTTTCTACATGCAACAGCAAGGGTATAACGAGGACATGGCTATAATGCATATTAAAAACCAAGAAGTTGCCAGCAAGCGAACAGATATAGAACAAGATGCTCAAGGATGGGAAATATGATGCAGAACCAAGAGTAGCCGAAAAATCAAATGGTCAATACATATTTCATTAAGGGTGTGTTTGAGCCACATTATTTTGGAAGAGTGAATTCTAGAATAGTAGATTGATGGAGAATGTGTGGTTGAAAAATAAAGAAAATTTATTGATGCGACGGAAAATATTATTTTATCGAAGAATGTGTGGTTGAAAATTAGTAGAATAATGAGAATGAAAAAAATAATGTGACTCAAACGGGGGCTAAATGAAAAAATTCTCAGTAACTTACTCGACGCCTAGTGTTACCAATATGGTATAAGAGAATGATTCTAAAAGTAAACAAAGTGACAGATAATAACATATGACCGCAAATCTGCAATGAACAGTAAATACAACATTCTTAGGCATACCTTTCCACCACTACTTCCAACAGCCATGAAATAACCATGTTTCCCGCCAAACTCAATCGCAGTAACCTCCTGCAATTTTCACACAATATCAAAGATGTCTATCAATTAAAGAAACCTCCATTGACAATATTCAGGAACTTAAGAATCATCACCCAACCCCCTTGACCCCCTTTCCCTAGATTACGGTAGCAAAGGAAACAGAGTCCTAGAAAGGAAAAGGACGATATTGATTTTTCCAACAAACATGGATATTATATTCAAATGGGCAAACAAAAGCACGCTACACACGTAACTTCATTTCAAGCATACCAACTTCAATGCTTTTAAAGGTCAAGGAAAACTAGTCTCGGGGTAGTCACCAAGAACTGGACATGGTATCTAGTCAAAGTTATAGAAAGTTATATAAAATATGCTACCTCATCAATGTCAACGGCAGATGCAACTATATTTATCCTCCCAACTGAAGATCTCGTTCTCATGTCAAAACATTCCACAGCTCCATCCTCACCACCAGAAGCAACTAATCCATGAACGTCGCTGAAAGGAAAAAACAAAGAAAAGGAAGAATGTCCGACAGTAAGACAATTGCACGCCAAGACCAAATCAAGAAATACAAATGAAAGGTTTAAGATAATCCTTACGATAAAAGAGCTACAAGATGGCATAAAAGCAGAAACAAGTGACACTAACCTGCGAGACACCACATTTAAAGTTGGGGATTGTGTGTTTAGTGAGGAGAGGAAACGGCCCTGAAAAAATAATTTACTTTGAAAAGCTGAACTAGAAAATATTTAAGATAATCTCATCTTTCATTCTTAAAGCATATAAAATGCTGAGAAAGAAAAGCACAATAGAGTGTATCCACCAGAAGTTAAACCTTATTCCAATTAGAAGCAAAGCACCATAAATGAACAAATGTAATTCACTTTTATTAATACTGTCAAAACATAGAACTCTTATCTTCTTTTAATAAGTCAAATAGGTTATAAACCATGTCAAAATCAAACATTAATTTCATCCAAACATTCATAACTACTACTCATTATTATTCACACATTTCATAGACCCACTACTATTCCTCTTTATAAACCATTTATAAATTTGCCAAATTGAGGCCTAATAGTATAGACCTTCATAACTTATTGAGCTCTATAATCTATACAGTTCACTATCTTAAGCTAATCTCAGTTTTAACATACTGTTCTAATTTTTTATTGCATTGCCTTCTTCTATTCTTTAAGATTAAAAAGCCATATTTCAACTTCTAAATTTTCCAACAAAAGGAGAGTGGAAACAACATGGAGTAGATGAGATCAATCAAACTAAATATCCCTGAGATAGTTGCAGAAGTTGTTTTTTCATCTGCCTTCCAAAAGGGGTAGGCTCTAGATTGAATGAAATTGCAAGAAAGGTTCTTTCAGGAATAAGGCTCAACTTGTTGCTAGTGGTCTGTCGGCATGTACCTTTTCTTTCTACTGAACGAATGGAAAAAGGTGGTTTAGATCAAATGAAATTGCAACAAAGTTTATTTTGGGAATAAGTCTGCGTGCACCATTTTATTTTTATTTTGTCAGCAGAGGCTGGAGGTTCCCTTTCTTCAAGTAAAGTCATTGGGGTTAATGATCTTATCAACCACTAATCTCAAACTCACATATCCAAATGAGAGTGAAAATATTTGATTTTAAACAACAAAATGAAGATAATTGCAAGACAAACCTGTTCTAGATTTATCCTGTATAGATCTGGAGAAGAAGCAGCACAAATTATGTCACACGACCAGCAATCATATGCAATGTCTCTTCCCATCCTGTATAATTAGGAATAAAAAGCCAAAGTGAAACTGATGACACATTAAGAAAAGGTAAAAGCAGGCAGGAAAGAAAATATACAAATCAAGCAGATAGAAGATGGAAATTCATCATCTCAGCCTATATTAGTTTCCTTTACAAGAAGTGCAGTCAAACTGTGACAATGTAATCCAGCCATGGTACACAACTTGATGGGAATCATATTGATGGAAATCTAATTGAAGTTTTAGCATATCTATTTATGATACAGAACATGGTAGAAGTCTTGCTCATACTTGTTTTGTCCACCAGCAGAAAAAAAGCATCATCATAATCAAAAGTGCTTAACCACATACATTATGTTATTTAAGATCCTCTAAATAAGTCTAAACTGAGTTCTCCAATTAAATAGAGGCACATTAAGCCCCTGTTTGAACCCTCTTTTTGGGCCAAAATGTAATTTGGAATAGTGTTTTGTTGGAGATTGTGTGGTTAAAAAATAAGGAAAAGTTTTGATTTACGTGTTATATTATATTTATTGAAAGAATATATAGTTGAAAATGAGTTTTTGAGAAAATGGAGGCCATAGGCAAAATTTATAATGCAGTCGAAAATTGAAATATGCTGGGTCATTAATTTCTGTTTCTTATTTTTCAATAAAGTTAATAGCAATTAATATAGAATTCATTCTCTCTCTAGCACCTACCTAAGCACATTTCAACAACTAATTGGTTCAATGTTAAGACACAGATAAAAGAACATGGCTAATGCAAATTCCTCAGATTTTAGGAGTTACAGAGATAATACGTAGAAAGCAAGAAGAAAACGACCTTGGGAGCTGGGAACCAGTAAATTACAAATAAAATGCATATATTTGTTGAAAGCAAGAGAAAGAACCTTGGGATTCTTAAACTGTAGTGACTTCCATATTTAGCATGGAGACAGACAGAGCGATCAGCGCAGAGAAATGCAATCTTAGAATAATCATCATCCAATACCTATTAGGACAAAAAAATGTACACATGTATAAGAAAAATTATAAAATGTATAGCATAATTTTATCTTTATTAAGTTTCCTCGAAAGTCCATGTTTCAATAGAAACCTAGTTGAAATAATACTTCATGAAGCAATATGGTTGTGCATGAATAGACGGAAATAAAAATTTCGAATAAGCGCTTGTTTGGTGAAGCTTGTCAAATTTCAATTTTAACAACACATTTCATTTGATCCACCAGCTTTTATCAACTGTTAGCAACATCACTCAACCCCTAGCAAATGAAACGTCTATTGTATAACACCCAAAATTCCCTTTACTAACCGCCATTTTTGAATTTGAGCTTTACAGTAAAAAATTGAACGTTTAAGGACCTAATTAATTGTGCCAATAATTTTATTGCAAAATCTAGAAGACATATAAAGCTAGATTTTTATAGATGCTATAATTTATTTGTATATATGGATGCATGTTAACATTTAAAAAGTATACTTATTAGTATAATTAGGATATGTAAATAAGGGTGCGTTTGATTGCAAGGGTGGAAAATGGGTGGAAAGAAAATATTTTATAGGGAAAATATTTGCCTAAAAAATATTTTGCAGGGAAAATTATTTCAAGTGTATTTGATTGGTATAATTTTCCACCCGAAAATTTTTAAATTTTCTATTCGTTTGGCTTTATTTTATATGGAAATTGTCAATTAAAGTGATCTTTTTTTCCACAATTGGTTATAAAATTTGTTTCCATTGCCAAAAAGTAAAAAAAAAAAAAGGGAAAAAAATTATTTTCTAAAAAATCATTTTTTTAATCAAAATTTAGTATTCGTTGACTTTGTTTTACATGAAAATTGTCCATTAAAGTGAAATTTTTTTTTACCATTGGTTATGACATTTGTTTCCATTGCCAAAAAAAAAAAAATTCCAACCAGCCAGAAAATATTTTCCCACCAAAAAGGCGGGAAAACATTTTCATCAAAAATCAAGAAAATGCACACGTGTGAGGAAAATCAGGAAAATATTTTCCGTGGAAAATTTCGCTTATCAAACAGCCAAAAAAGAGGAAAATATTTTTCTACTTCCCCGGAAAACACGGCCTATCAAACACAGCCTAAGTATATTCATCATAATAAAGTGGGAATAGTTATTGTTACAACAAATTAAGGATACTTTTGGGGTTAAAAACATGCACTTGTGAGCTTGAAGGAAAGTAGCTATGTTTGAGGACTCGTGCCTAATGAAATGATAAAGGTTTCGAAAACGGCATAAAATCCATGGTCAAAGCCAAGCAACTAGTACATTTACATAGACGAGCGAAAAAAAAAACACACCACCAACCCAAACTTCCTCACACATACCTCTCTTTTCTCTCACTGAGAAACAAACTTTCACCATCTTTCGCCTCACTTCTCTCCACTCACTCACTCACTCACACACACGCACACACAATATTCACACCACACACAGTAGTTTTCTTGTTAAAGAAAGTTCAATGCATTAAACCTAATTATCTTCTAATTTTGTTAATTTTAAAATAAGTTTTATGGGTATATGAATAATAAGCTATGATAAGAGAACTGGAATTTAATAGCGCTATGCACAAAAAATCCCTACCATCTAAGTTACGTATTTTTCTTGTCTCATTTATGTATAATATGATTTATTTATTTTTTTACAGAATTTGTAATGCGATTTATAAATCTACTGTATACACTTTGAATATCTGATGGAGATAGAGGTACGAAGCAGATAAAGATAAAGAGTTTTATTCAAAATATGCCTATTTAGATTTGATTATTTTAATTGAGATTTTTAAATGGAGTTTTATTCAAAATATATCTACTTAGATTTGACTACATTAGTTCAAATATTTCAATAATGTATTAATTTTTTATTTGATATTCTTTCGGCTTCTTGTGCTTTATAAATAGAGGACTTATTTCATTGTAATATTCAACCCTTAATCATACGAGTAGAACTCATTTCCTATTTGCCCTCACCTACTTCTCTTCTTGAAACCTTTTCTTTTCTATTCTTCAATTGTTTATTGTCATATTAATACGCTCCTACGTTAAATTGGTATCAAAGCAAGTCATTCTCCTCTAGCCTACAAATCTTTCGTTCAAAAATATCCCAACCAGTTGTTTCCACCCCAATCCACACAACCGCAACCACCACCACCACCACCCATTCAAACTCTATAATAACCTTCATATACTACACCTTTCTTTTCAAATTAACATACTGAAACCGCAACTTTGAAAATATTAGTTTAATGTTATTTTCAGCATTGGTCATTTATTAGTTTGATAATCCTATATAATTTTCCTTTATGTTTTATAATTGAAACTCTTAAGAGAAAGATTTAGTGATACTTGGGAATTCAAAACCCGGGGCATCACATTCAAGAAAAATAAATCAAAACTTCAAGCAGTCAAATGTTAACTATCTTGATGAAATATAATTGTCAGGAATATTGATGTGTGCGCGTCATTGTTCTTTTTCACTTTTGTGACCAAATGAAGCCAGTACACAACTTCACTGGTAATGAATAGATAAGTGAGTGAATGTCTTTTACAACTTCATCAAAAGACTATGATTTTTGGCCTCATTTCCTCAAACTCATTTTTTGTCAAACTCATTTTCAACCACATATTTTATGGAACTCGCATCTTTTATCAACTTTTCAACCACACATTTTATCAACTTTCATCCAAATCTACTAAAATTTTTTATTTAAACCAAACAAGGACTACTTGACTGAAACTAACCAATCACAGAAAGGACTTTAGAGTTAAACATAACAAACATATTTATTACGTCCAATTTTATTTCTACACAAATCAAAAAATTATTACCTGAAAATTAATGATCTCGGATACAAAATGTCTTTCAAACTTCAAAGATAGTTCCCTCAACTCATATACTTTGATTTGTGGAGGGTAAATGCCTGATGTTAAAGAAAAAACCTAATTTACATAGGTGCACACAAACAAGTAAAGTACAGGAGTAGAAAAACAAACTGTTATAAAACAAAATTTAGCATTCACCTGAGGCTATAAGATACTCGCCATCAGGGGTCGCCTTAATTCTAGTTGTTGCAGTTTCAAACCTCAGATCCTGTATCAAATCCACTCTTCGCTGATAGTCTAAAAGTAACCAAAATTGAAATTGAGTTATTTACAAAAATCACCAGGTGCCAAATTAGTGCAATTTTTTTCTCTTTTAGCATCCAATAAAATTATAAACTAAAAAGTAATGAAGTTAAAGAACAACCTATATCCCAAAACTAAATAAAAATAGCCAGTATATCTCCAAATAAATATATCACATACGTAAAACCCATCAAGCCACCTCTAAAGTGATCAAAGATGACTAAAAACACTGATATATTGTTCACAAAAGAAAAGGCAATTTCTATATATATTTATCTATCCATGCCATTGTACCTGGATTTTTACGGAGAGCCCTTTGCTTCTTGGGAGAAAGCCAGGTGGCGGTGCGATGATTGCCGGATACTGTGTACAATTTCACTCCATTTATGGAGGTCGACTTCAAGTTACCCCCTTGGTACGCCATTTTGTTTTCCTCCGAGGTCGTTCTTGCTATCTGGATAGATAAAAAGTACGAAAATTTCGTTATGAAATACTTTTTCAATGTGTTTCAACAACTGCTTTGAGCAGCCGAAACGAGGTGGAGGGTTTGCAGATTCTAGTGATGGCAATGGGGCGGGTTCGGGCAACGCCGAACCTGTGATTTTTGGGGTCGGAGGCGAACTCCGAAAATTGAGCCCCCAAAATCAACGTAAATGCAAAATCCAACAATGTATTATGTAACGTATTGCTAACTTAAAACTAAGCATTAGAACAACAAACAAATATAAAGGACAAAAGATTTATATTATAAAGTAACAAAAAAGAGTTCAAACAATCAATTAAATATTATTCGCCTTACTGTTTTAGAGGCAAAAACATTAATCAAATAAGAATGATTTAACTGTTCAACCACATCTTTAACCACATCTTTCTCTACTGATAAAATAGTCAATCCATTCAATCATTCTTGTAACATAGGTGAGTCTATATCTATTATATAATGCCCAATGATTAGCCTAAAAAACAATTACAAAATATCTCAATCATTTCACAATTAAAAGTTTTCAATACAGTTACTACGTGCACCTGTGCAATTGATCATACAAACTACAATAATCATTCATATAAGCCAACAAGACTACAATTATATAAGCCGACAAGACTTCAAACATTTTCAATATATTCAATATCAAGTTAGGACAAGTCATTGCTTACTTGAGAAGTACAATTTCGACAAAAATTATGCAATCACACACTTCAGAATCCCACCATTACATCTGACAAGCCTGAAATCAAAATTTCACATTAACCATGGCACTAATACAAAGTCTAAGCTATGAAATTTACCCTTTTTAATCAATAAAAGGTTAAAACTTTCAAAAGCCTGAGCTTTATTTTGCACGCAACTTCAGCTTAATCTAGATAAATGAAAAACTACTCTTCCAAGTTCCATAAACTTAAGATTCTCCCGTTCTGAAGAGTTCTCGATAGAAGATTTAAGAATCCAAATTCACATTGAAATGTTGAAGTAAATCAAAATATATTTCAAGTAAATTAACTGTCTATAAACAATAGAAAATGTAAAACGGAATTTCATAGCCAACTGGAAGTCTGGAAGTTGGAAGATACTCCTTTTAGGTGAAAACATTAGCAATAATCTTGAAAATTCAATTACCAATAATAATGTAAGAAGCCTACGAAGAAAATTAATTTAGAAGGGATTACCTGAGAGTCAGAAATCACTGTATGAAAACAAAATTGAACAAAAAAACCTTAATAAAGAAAACTACCTGCTCAGAGAGTCAGAAATCAGAATCAGTTCGAACTTCGACCTGCCCGGAAATTGAACCAGTCGACGGTCGACCTCGAAGAGCGAACGGACGGCTCGGACCGCGCGGTTAGGGTTCTGAAAGAGTGAAGCCTTCGAAGTTCGAAGGGAGGGAAAGGAAAGGAAAAAACGAAAACAAAGGGAAGGAAAGTCGAGAGAAGACACCGGAGACGGGAGACGGCGTTGGTTCTTTCTAACGGTGAGGAATAGGTTTTTTTAAGCTGGAGCACTGATTCGACCCGTTCGCATAACTTCCTGCTTTAGACTTGGTTTTAAATAGGCCTTACGATTGGGCTTGAACTTGTGGGCTTCACCTATATTGGGCTTAGGCTTAGATTGGGATTGGGCTTCATTAGAGATGGCAATTTAACCGCCCCCCGCCGGGTTTTCCGGGGGGGGGGAGTCGCCGCCCCAACCCGTGAATAATTTTTAAAAAAAATTATATATCCAAGATTCCAAATCCATTTATGTAACCATACATACTAACCCGCGACCCGGACCAAAATGATCTAAACTCGAGACCCGGAAATACTTCATCAGGCCTCAACTGAGGAAATACGTGTGAATAGCTGGTTAAAAAGGCCATAATTCAAGTTTGGCATTTGACCAAGAAATAGCATTTAAAAAAAATCAAAACCTACTTTAAACACCTAAAAGGCAAAAATACCCCTCATTGCAAAGTGAAGAAAAATCTCACAGTTGGAAACGTGAAAACCGACCCCAATATTTCCCAAAAACCAACCATTTTTCTTGAAATCCAGCCACCATAGCGACTACTGAAAACGCCGACAAGTTTATAGAGGAAGGTGAGTTTGTTGTTCCTTTAATAGCCATTTTTTTCCATACTAGGTGCAAGTAACGTGCAATGCACGTTTGTCTAATTTATATTTAAGAGCTTGTTTGGTAGGGATTTTTTGGGGGAAGAATTGATTTTGAATAGTGATATGATAGGAAATATGTGGTTGAAAAAGAAGATAAGATTATTGATGTGATAGAAAATATTATTTTATTGAAGAATGTGTGGTTGAAAATGAGAATTGATTTACTGTTGAAAATGAGAATTTTTACCAAACATACCCTAAATGTGAAGCAAGAAAATGCGAATCTCGAAATAATTGTAACTACTACTTGAAGTTAAATGAATAGACGCTCTAAATAAACCGTGTCAACTAAACTTCACATCAAATGACAATTGCAATCTTCGATTTTTATTGTTTTGATTTTACCAAAATTGCACCTCCAATGTTGAACATT